AAGTGTATTGTTTAATCTATGAGAAAAAATATATCTTTAAATTAATTATTAGATATATAATACTTACTCCCTTGCTGAGACAAAAAAAGAAAAGAAAATTAACCTACATAACACACTCACGTAGGTTAATGTTTATTTACTTTTTTTGTAGTTAACTAACATTTGTCAAACTAACACACTGCTGTTATATTACACCAATTTGTTTGTGTTGACATACACTCATATCGACCTTAATTTAATAAAAAAAAATGTTTAAGTTTCATGTTTGCTAATGTTTTAAACACGTATTTAACACCTCTTCATCGTGTTTGCGCTTGGTTGGGTGTGATAAAGTTCTGGAGACTTATAATAAAACTGTACTGCCTCCCTCTACTGGACGCATCAAGAACAACAGGGGTGTAAAACTGCCCAGGCCATAAAACTGCTTGGGCCGTAGATCTGTCTGGATCCAAGTCTGCAGTCTTCCCCACCTCGAATATTTCGTGCAACAGCGCCCCCTGGTCAGTGATCACAATTTTCGGCACAACACCGCCCTTCAGAAACGAAAGTGAAAGTGTTTAGTTGTTGTGTTGCAGTTTTAAACAACCAAAATTCATCATTTACCAACGCGGAACAGCTTTAAATCTTTAATGTCTGGACAAAACCTGTAAGCTTTATGTGAATGTGTGTATGATGTTATTATAATCAAACGGATGACGCTGTGATTCTTCATTAGTTTACTCGTGATGAGCTTCTGGATTTGAGTGTCTCAGCTGCTGATCTATTCCTGCATTCAGCTGAATTATGAAGGCTGATCAATGACTGGAGATCTGTGATTGTTTATCAGTTTCTTGTTTCTTCTAGAGTTTCTGCTGGAGATCAAACTCTTCAGATCCATCATGGAGGACACAAACACACCTGGAGTTCTGGATTTGTCTACAGGATGCAGGTATTAGACCTACACTTGACATTTTATATGATTATTTTCTACAGGATATTATATTTACTCTCTGTTAGTTGTGTTTTGTCAGAATATTTAACACACACAGACAGCAGAATTTTGTACAATAATTATGAAAAGTATCATGAAGTGCTGTTTAAACAGTGTTTTAATGATGAAATGTTGAGTAAATCTGCTGTGTTGACTCCAGTGTGTGCAGCTCTGAACTTTAATCTTCTCTGTTTTAGTTCAGTTCATCAGAAGAGAGCAGAAGCAGAGCCCAGCTGTGTGTCTATGAAGAGTGACGCGTCTATGGATGAACCAATAAATCTTAAGAGTAAAAACACAGGACCTGCTGTCAGGTAGATCATCTCATTAATATCTGCAACTGATGAGTATTTTCATAATAAATGAATCAGGTAATTAGTGTTGTGGATCTGTTGGGTTTCAGATGTTAGATATTGTATCTGAGCTCTGCAGGATAGTGCTTGAAGATCTCCACTTTACACTTCAGGCCACAATTGATGGTGTTAACAAACCAATCACCGCTTTATTAATAGTTAGTGAGGTAGAAGGTGGGTTTAGGTTTTGGGTAGGGTTAGGGATCCACAATAAGATCATACTGTATGACTACTAATGAGCAGTTCATTTGTTCACATGACACAGATAATAAGCCGGTAGTTAATAGTATGAATTGTGAGCTAAACTAAAGTGTTCCCGATCTCCTGCCATAAAGGGCTTTTCCTGCACACTTTCCCCTGCTGTTTCTGTGCTGTACTGATCAGCCATTCCTCTGATCTAAGCCTGTTTTCTGTCATGACTGTCTGTGTCCACCAGATGCCACTGTAGTTCACCAGCACTGTCAGCGAACTACTGTGGTAAAAAAACTACATCCCACGTGCAATACACCCGGTATCACTTACACTGATTGGCCATTCACAGCTGTTCCCATTTCCTGTTGATTTCCTGGACTATTTATACAATCATTCACCCATTGTTTGGAACTGAGTCATTTGTCTTTCTTGTCTTCATTATCTAGTAAGTCTTGTATAGCGTTTTTTTTTTATTTCCTGAGCCTTGTTCCTGTTCCTGATCCCGATTCCTATTGTAGCTTCTTGTTTTGTTGTTTATTTGTTACTTTGTTATTTTGAACGCCGGACACCTTGTTTTTCTGTTTGCTGCATGATCTCTTAATAAAACTGCACCTGGATCCTTCACCTTTTCTTCCTGTTTCAACTACTAACCGTGACAGAACGATGCAGTTCATATGGATCCAGCAGGCGACAAGATCATGCTTCTAAAACAAGGTAACCGCTCCATAGAGCGTAACATAACAGAGTTTTTAGACCTGGCCCCGAGCAACACCTACAGTTATTTGCTTCTAATGATGTTTTTCCGAGGAGGACTTTTAGAACCAGTCCGATCCCAAATGCCATCATATGAGGAGGACTGGAACATCTATCGTTTCATTGAGCATGCACTATTGATTTCTGGCTACTGAAATCTATTACCCTGGTGGAGGAGAAACCTCAGGATGGAGGCCTGAAGGGAAATCAACATCTAGATCTGTTTTCGGGGCCTGCTAAATTATCTTCGGAAGGGAGGAGAAGAGCTAGATTAAAGCTGTGGGCTTATCCACATCAGGCTGTTCAAAGACCACCTTTTTCTGAGCCTCTGGAGAGACTTCTAGAACTTTGTGAAACCCCAGTGTCTGCTCCAGCCCCACAATGCCCACCAGTGTCGGCTCCAGCCCCAGAGCATGCTCCTTCTTCTGCTGACAACGCCCTTCCTCTTACTCAGACGACCAGATGGAGGAGGCGTAGGAAGAGGACCGCCCATGCACCAGAGTGCCCGCCAGTGTCAGCTCCAGCCCCAGAGCGCCCTCCAGTGTCGGCTCCAGCCCCAGAGCGCCCGCCAGTGTCGGCTCCAGCCCCAGAGCGCCCGCCAGTGTCGGCTCCAGCCCCAGAGCGCCCGCCAGTGTCGGCTCCAGCCCCAGAGCGCCCACCAGTGTCGGCTCCAGCCCCAGAGCGCCCGCCAGTGTCGGCTCCAGCCCCAGAGGGCCAGCCAGTGTCGGCTCCAGCCCCAAAGCACCCGCCAGTGTCAGCTCCAGCCCCAGAGCACAGTTCAGTGCCAATTCCAGTCCAGCTCCTCGCCCTGCCAGAGCCACCCAGGCTCCTCGCCCTGCCGGCACCACTCGGGCTCCTGGCTCTGCCGACGCCACCCAGACTCTTTGCTCTGCTGGCTCCAGCCTGGCTCTCACCTTAACAACGCCGTCCAGACGCCTTGCCAGTCCAGTCCCGCTGCCTCCAGCCCCGCCGGCTCCAGTCCGGCTGCCTTCAGCCCCGCTGGCTCCAGTCTGGCTGCCTCCAGCCCCACCGGCTCCAGTCCTGCTGCCTCCAACCCCGCCGGTTCCAGTCCAGTTGCCTCCAGCCCTGCCTGCAGCCCCGCCGGTTCCAGTCCAGTTGCCTCCAGCCCTGCCGGCTCCAGTCCAGCTGTCTTCAGTCCAGCCAGTTCCTGTCCAGTTGCCTCTCCAGCCGGCTCTCCACAAACCCTCCCTGGGTCATCCCTCCCGTTCCTCCCTGATGGCTCTCCTCACTACTTGAGGAAAATCCGATTTAGATTTTGGTTTCAAACGATTATAAAAAAGCATTAATCGAGATAATTGATTATTGCATCATATTTCGCCACAGTTGTACACGTGTTGCTCTTAAAAGCGGGAAAGAGCTTATGTGTGTGTGCAGCACAATCACGCAGTCAGAAGCATGCGCAGGTCAGCATTCACTCTCATTCACACACTGAGACGAGCAGAGGAGCGCAGACATCTAAAGTCATCTTAACGTGAACGCTTTAATGGTCAAATAGGTGTCAAAACGCGGTGTTTAGTGATTATTTACATTAACCCTCATTTGTGTAATAAACAAACGAGTTGAGGATCAAAAGACGTGAAAGAGAAACCATTAAAGATACAGCGCGCTATAATCCTGCTGCCGCCTGTTTCTATCATTATTAAACAAACATAACAAGAAAACCCTCGCTGCTCTTGACTGAAGGACTGCTGTAGCTAAAGTGTTTTTCTTACAGTGAAGATGCTTAAAGCACAGTTTGTTTCATATTTTTATTCTATTGTATTTATTTCTCTTTCCTTTGCAGGGTGGAAAATAACTGTATGTATACAACTGAAGTCAGAATTATTAGCCCTCTTGAATATTAGCAAACCTTTTCCTGCCCTATTTCTGTTTCATGGAAAGAATATTTTATTAACTTATTTCTGAACATAATAGTTTTGATATCTCATTTCTAATTACTGATTTCTTTTTTTCTTTGCTATAATGACAGCACATAATATTTTACTAGATATTTTTCAAAATACAAGCATTCAAATTAAAGTGCAGTTCAAAGGCTTAATTAGAGTAATAAGGCAAGTCATTATAACGCTAGTTTATTCTGCAGACAATCAAAAATATATATTGCTTAAGGGGGCTAATAATATTGACCTTAAATTGGTTTCAAAATATTTAAACCTGTCTTTATTCTAGCTAAAATAAAACAAATAGAAGAAAAAATATTATAGGAAATACTGTTAAAATTCCTTGCTCTGTTAAACATAATTTGGGAAATATTTATAAAAAAAAAAAAATCTCAGGAGCGCTAATAATTTTGACTTTAACTGGCAATGGTTTTGAATAATCGTGATTACAATTATGACCAAAATAATCATGATTATGATTTTTCCCAAAATATATATATATATATATATATATATATATATATATATATATATATATATATATATATATACAGAACATATGTGTGTGTGTGCGTGCGTGCGTGTGTATTTATATGGGGGGGGGGCTCCAAAGATTGTATATGTTTATGGGGGGGGCCCAAAAAAAAAAGGATGGGAACCTCTGTATCTAGTAAGTCTTGTATAGCGGGTTTGTATA